CTTGCTCCAGGGTGGGGGTGATGGCCTCTCCGATGACCTCACAAGACATACGGTGTTTAGCATGGTCCCTGCATCTTGGTGTGCGTGTCTGCTGCATCTCTCTTGGGCTCATCACATCCATTATGAACCTCCAGTGAGAAGGCATGCCTGGGCATTGTATATATGATGAGAAGAGGATTGGGAGGGACTTGGGGACGTCTAATGTATGCAGGGGAGAGGGCCCGAAGCTAGGGAGAGGAGGGCTAACAGGTGGATGAGGCAAGCATGAAGACCACTCACCTGAAGACCAAACGAGAGGGGAAGATGAGAACCGTGTGTCTTCCCAAGCCTGGGGTAGTGAAGGACTTTGTACAGTCTCCTTTCCTGGAACCCCTGGAAGTCTAAAAATTGGGCTGATCTCCTCTTCTTTTGCAAGACATGGAGGAAATGTATATGCACACGGCCAGGTGAAGGAAGCCAGGCTGGAAGGATTAAGTACTGACTTCAACTATACGACCTTTCGGAAAATGCAAAACTAAAGACATAAGACAGATAAGTTGTGGGACATTTGTACACCGTGTGAAGATGTATTGCTGTGATTGGTGTAATAGAAAGCTGAACGGCCAACAGCAAGGAAGGAGGTGTAGGCGGGACTTCAGGGCACAGTTCTTATTGGAAAGAAGGTGGAGTCACCCTCCAGACATGGAGGAAGCAACATGAGCAGCACAGAGAGACGAGGTAACCAGTTATATGACAGAACAGAGATGAAAAGAAATGGGCTAACTTAAATTCTCAGAGCCAGTGGCACAGGACTAAGCTAAAGCTGAGCTTCATAATGAATAGGAAGTCTCCATGTTGTTATTTGGGAGCTGGCGGCCCAAATGAAAATCCATCTACAATAAGTGGCTGCTGATGGAGGTGAGGGTGGTGGGGGAGGGAACAATAGGCTGAGCAGAGAGGCTTGTGACAGGGAAATGATTGTGTTATGATCCCAGCGGACACATGCTATTACACGTGTGTGAGAATCTGTAGAAGGCAGAACACAAAGAGCCAATACCAATGTAAGCTACAGAGTTTGGTCAGCACTGTACTGAATATGATATGATCAGCTAACAATTGCATCCCACTAATGCAGGGTATTAATAGCGGAATTCAGGGCTAAGGCGAGCTACTCTTTTAGCAATTTTTAAAAATACGTATAAAACCATTCTTAAAAAAAAACTCTTAAAAAGTTAGGCCTGGGGAGCTGGAGAGATGGCTCAGAGGTTAAGAGCACTAGCTGCTCTTCCAGAGGTCCTGAGTTCAATTCCCAGCAACCACATGGTGGCTTACAACTATCTGTAATGAGATCTGGCACTGTATCCTAGAAAGTGTATATATAATAAATAAATAAATAATTAAAAAAGTTAGGCCTGGGAGTACAGGCCTATAAACCCAGTGAATCTAGAGGCAGAGGCAGGAGGCTTCCCAAATTCAAAGCCTGCCTGCCTGGACTATAGAGCGAGTTAAAGGTCAGTCTAGGAGTGCTAGGGTTTGGCTTAGTGATAGAGTTCTCCTTTAGTATTTATGAGGCTTTAGATGGGTTCAGTTGCCTGACAACACACACACACACACACACACACACACACACACACACACCTACAGCATGAACAGGAAGTCTGCATCAGGAGTCACAGGAACAGACTGCCTCCTGCAGAAGTGTGGCTTTCTTGGCCCCTGAGACAGGCAGGAAAAATATGCTTTTAAAGGAAGAGATGAGCACACTTCCTAGGGCCAGAGATATCCCACAATTATAAAGAATCTGTGGGCTCCAGCAGGCCCATAGATGTCTTTGAGATGTTAGTTGTCCCAAGTCCTTACACCAGAATGGAATCCATAGCATCTGTGCCTCTCACCAAGACCAACTGCACTGAGGTCTACAGAAGTGCCATGGGAGGCCAGAACTACACGGGGCTGTTAGGCCTTGACTCCCACCCTTGCCTCAAATGAAGGTACTTATTCTTAGAGTGTAAACTCTCTTTGGTGGGCAGGGGGTACTGGGATGGGCTGCTGCTGAGCTGCGTGCGCTCCAGGGAGAAGGGAAACTGAGTCATTCTGAAGTGGATGTGGGGGTGGCTGGGCTTGAGAACTAACAGGAGTGGGCAGTTGCTGAGTTACTGAACGAGACTGGAGGACAGACAGAGATGGGCAATACTTGATTCTTGATCAAAACCAAAACAGACAAAAAAAAAAAAAACACCAAGAAGATTGCCATTCTGTTGGAGCTGAAAGAGATCTTTATGACATGTCTAATTCTCCCTGAGGAGTGAGGAACCTGGGGCTTAGAGGGGTCTTCCCCACCTCGATTCTGAGACCCAGGCTCTACTAAGTTTAATTTGCCTTCAACATAGCCCTCAGGCCACCTCACTTTGCTCTCTCACACCCTGGTGATGTCCTGATTTCAAACTTTCCAATGGCTCCACTCTTCAAACCCCCTTAGCATAACCCAAGCCTCCATGGGCTCACCAAGAACAGGCACCTTTAACTTCTAGACTGTAGCTGTGTATTTCCCGGTCCTAGTGCCCCCTGAACTAGAGAGCATATACAGCCCACACATAGTAGGTCTATAAAGAGTTCTCCCAGCCTCCAGGCAGATGTCAGTCTGTTCCTTTGGGCTCCATTGCATGGCCTTTCCCAAACTCCATCTGCTAGATTTCTTTCTCCGCTGGCCTCGGAGGGCCATGAGCCAGGCCTCCTGGGGCTACCAGACTCTTGGAGTCCATGTGCAAAGTTCTCGGTATGTCCCTGATTTGCTTTCAGCTACCAGTCTACTCTGGTCACTCAGAGTGACAAATGGCAGGCACTCAGAGACTGGTTTCTCGCCTAGTGTGGGGTGGCACACTGCCCAATATAGCAGTTAACCACGTGCACAGTGACACACACTCTCTACATTAAGTTTTATGATTTCAGGGCCACCATGCTCAGGCTTTGTCCTTACAAATGGCCAACACTCCCCGGGGCTCTGCTTTGCTTGCTAGACCAGGTATGTTTACCTGTGGACCTTCCCCTCTGTCACACTGGTAATGTATGGCATTAACTTTTATGCTTTAAATTCAAAATAGGCAATAAAATTAAGGAAGCAGGTTAGTGGTAATCTACAGGGCTGTCCGTGGAGATGAGTGAGTCCTCACGGACTCTGTGGGCGTGGAGGGGTTCTGAGGTTCTCCAGCCCTCTGTGAGCAGAGATGGGCTGTGCAGCAAGCACCAAGGCCTGATGGCCCACACACTGAAACTTCCATTTATACAAAAGCTTAGTATATAGGAGCTGGGGCTGGGCTCCTGGGAGTACAATTCCAGGAATAAACGAGGCTTATCTCAGTCTCTCTGCTTTGGATAGCCCCTAATGAGCCTCATCTACAAACACATTGGAGGGCAAAGGGACCAAGTCTGGTCAAAGGTATGCATGTGGGAGTCACGTATATGACAGCCACTCCCCTCCTTACACAGGACCTGCGGCTGTCAATCTCAAATGCCCTCTGTGTCTGCTTGCTTGGCTTACATCAGTCGCTGCCCACGGCCCAGCAATGAAAGCAGGGGGAGACTGTTCTAAATTTCTGCATGAAGAAACAAGGGCCCAGTGAGGCTAGTAACTGATCCAAGATCGCAGCCAGGTAGTAGCGCAAGAGGGAGGCTATGGAGCCCACACTCTCCCATGATGCCCTGGAGGTCGCAGCTAGAGCCTGGGGCTGTCTGAGTGGGAGGGGATTTGAACGCCTGTTGTGCAGAGGGAGGATGAAATAGGAGAAGCCTCTGGACCCGTGGGCCAGGAGTCTTTGCATTTGATAATCTTGGACTTGCTGGTGGCCGGGGACCATTTCTGTAGTAACAGAAGGCAGCCTTCTCCTTGTGCCAGCTGCCGGGCCGGGTGTAATTAGGTGAGAAAGGGCCTGAAGCGTCCACACAGGCAAATCACAACCTCGCAATTAGGAGAAACTCGGCAGCAATGAGGTGTGAAGACGCCTGCGACTTGAGCTGTGCTCATGATGAGGAACCAGTCAGCCAGAACTGGCCTGCTGTGCAGCAACTCAGATGGAGCACCGAGGTGCAGGCCCAAGGAGAGGGGTGCCAGCGCTGGCCTGGCCCCCTCCCACAGGCAGGTTCCTTTCCATATCGAGGAGGTCCCAGGAAGGGGGCCTGCACACCCACACCACAAACTTCGGGACATTTAAAAGAATTATGTCGGGGCCACACCATCCTTGGAATCTCACAGAGGTTTTTTTTTTTTGTCATGAGCAACTAGGGTGGGGAAATTGAATGGCAAATGATGTCCGTGGTGGAAATGTTGATGGGCACACAGCACTGAATGATGGCAGGCAGGGTCCGGGCGACTTGACTGGACATCGTGTGAGGCTGCAGTTCAGCGGCAGTGGCCTTCCTGCCAGCCTGCGTGCCAACAAAGCTGACAGACTCCTTGCTGTCCTGCTGCTGGAGCATCTTCTGGAAAGAGGCAGGGATGGCCTCAGACAGCTCTTTGTGCCTCTCCCTGCCTGCCTCACGGGAGAACAGACTCTTGCCGGGAGGTCTCTCGGACACAACCCGCGTGAGGAGGCATAGGAGGAAGGACAGGCGGGAATGGAATGAAGAGTCAAGGTCTGGCTCCCGGGGAGAGGTTGCTCACAGTAGGCCGGGTTCCCCAGGGCGTCCACTGGGAAGGTAGCACCACCTCACCACACATCAATTCCTTTGAATAAACGGAATTGATGGTGTGGGACTGGGCTGTACCAGGGACAGCATGAGGCTGTCACTCGAGCGATCTGCAACTGCCCACAGTTGTAACCAAGGGCTCAGCACCATTGTCGCCACTGGGGACACCGGGCGATGGTGGCTGTGCATCAGGTAGTGTGGAGGCCACCCTTTCCGTGTGGGATCTCCTTCAGCGGTGTGTTCTTAAGCCCATGTTTTATTTCTGTCACCCACGATCACTGTCACACACTTCCCACCCTCCCCACTCCATTCTACTACTAAAGTCACGCTTCAAACTGTCATTTTCTTTTTAATTTTTAATCAGTCTGTGTCAAGAGAAAACAGGACTCGCTCAAGCTTCCAGCCCTCGCTGCTGCTCGCCAGCACAGTGATTTTTATGGATGAGGGTTGTGGTTATATTTGTTTAAAACCCAGAGGAGGAACGGAATCAACACCACAGACCAACATGTATTTGATGAGACGCTTCTGCACTGGGGAGTCTCTAAAAACCAATCGATTTCTTAGGCACAACACCCAGTGGGCATCATGAGACCCTCACAGGAGGAATGCAGGATGTCAGGCAGACAGGGCCAAAGGCCCCCTGAAAGCAAGAGAGCCGGGTGACTTGGGGCTGGGAGGCCAGCCTTCAGACTTCGCGGGACAAAACAGAGAGCTGGGGGGCCGGGGGTGCAAAAGATCTGACTTACACTTTCCTCGGATGCAGAATGTGTTTTACAGACACTTTCTGTTTGGGAAAATAAAAGTACGGTTAAGATTTGGGGTCAGGAACAATGTGATAACAATGACCCACAGAGGAAGGCATGAGCAGGTAACTGGGAGTGGTGTCTCTCTGAAATACCAGACCAATCCTGACCAAGTTTCCTGGTCCACCACAAGATGTATTCTCATCAAGGAAAGCCCAGGTTTATCCCACGCCATGGATCCACCGCCAGACCATGGACGGATACACCGATGCTGGTCACCAGAGGACAGCACAGGGCATGGGTGTGTGTGTGGGGGGGGAGGGAGGAAGGGCTCTCTGCGTGAGGAAATTTCCAGAAAGCAGAGTCGGCTTCTTCATTTTGTTTCTCATTTGAACCGCTCATCCTGCTTTGACAGTGGTCCTGATACAGATGTAACACGAGAGTCTTGCCTTGGGAGTCTTGCCTTTCTAACAAGTGATAGGAGAAGGATCTGCTCCTGGGCTGGCCGATTAACATGGGCTTTCTACAGTGGCAGACCTGTCCAGATCTAGAGTCCCTAGACAGTTCAAAGCAGATTTTAAAAGCAGATTGACACAATGTGACATGCTGGCAGAGGGGCAGGGAGTGCTGTTAACACAAACCAACAGGATATGTGATTCGTTGGGATGTGTGCGGCACTGTCTCACGCTCTGGAGCAAGAGACGCTCAACGCTGTCATTGGGGGATGCAGAGAGTCCTTGGTTCCCTGCAGGCCGTGACAAACCTGTGGGTCTCACTGAAAAGCACTGTTGCTGCTGGTTCTAAGACTCGCAGTCCTGTTGGAGACGAGTGGTGTGATCGCTGTCCCCACGTAGATAGATTAGAAAACGCCCTGGTCTCCCCCAGGCTCTGTCTGCTTGTGGCCTCACTCCAAGGGTCAAGGCTCTTTCCCCCAAAGAGAACAGTGGAATGACCATGACTTGGCCCGGCTAGGCATCTTCTTCCATGAGAGGGATCTCTGAAAAGGAAGGGATGGTTATTTGCTTAGTGCACGATTTGGAATTACGAGCCTCATTAAAACTACTCCCATCCCAGAAATCAAGGAAGAAAGGAAAGTGTTCAGATCCACGCAGCCATTAGAAGTCAAATAAAACAGCATCCCCCCCCCCCGAACACCAGCTATTTGCTAGAGAACAGCTTATGATTTTTATATCCAGCTCATAAAAAGGATAATGTTAGGCTTTCACCACGGCTCTCAGTCACTCAAGCCAAGACGCTACCATTTCAAGTGCAGAAGAGCAGGGAGGAGCACAGGAAGGGGCTCTGGGGGCCAGCAGGCCCGTTTCTGCCCTGCTTCTGTTTACCGTGGCCACACTCGAGAATCAATGTGATTTTGCAGGGTTGCGCTGCACTTCCTTCCAGGGGAAGCAGGGACCTGATTACTTCCATACATTTCACCATTTTCACGGGCTATGATCTTCCCCGTGGCGGATGCCTCTTCCGCGTCACGTTGGGTAAAGTGACTTCTATGCACACAGTATTGGTTGGGGTCAGGTGGGGATGTGGTGCCCCCCCAGGTGAGTCCGGGGCAGCATGTCTCACTGCACTGGCCTTCCAAAGAGGGATGGTGGGACCCAGTGTGCATGGCACTGGATTTCCAGTGTGCACAGCGGCATGGAAGAACCAGCCTTGTGCAAGTCAGCTTCGGAAGATGTGCTGGGACCTGGTGCACATGTCTAGATTGTTCTTCTGTCTGTGTGTGATGCTCTTCCCGAGCAGCACCTTCAGAAGTCCTATTCAATTAAGGGACAAGATAAAATCCCTGTATAATAGGAGGCATTGAAATTGAGGTGTTGTCTGCCCTCCAGCCTTTTAACTCCATGGCTGGGTACCCTCTGGGGCTTCATGAAATTTCTATTCCTGGGATTTTATTACTCATACAATACTGACCACTATTTGCTACCCCTGGCCTGTCGATGGACCTACGAGAGTGAGAAGCAATGGCAGCTGGGGAAGAAGCAGACCCTTGGCCCTGACCCTGTGCTGGGGAGCTAGTCGGAGCTTACCATCTGCGATGTCGATGCCTGGGCTGGTGGATGCCACCTCCCCTGCTGTGCTCGGAATCGTGTCAGGGGTGTCTGGGGCAGGGTGGCTGCCCCCTTGGCACACGGGAGCTGAATATAGAGTCTGGAGCAGCTCAGAAGAACCCGAGGTGCTGTCACAGGGTTCTGACTCCCCAGCACCCGTGTCCGTGTCCCCGGAGCCGGGGTATGCTGGAGGGCTCTGGTCATCCACAGGAAGAGGACAGCCCTGGCCCACAGCGGCCAGGTACCCGGGGCCTAAGGCACGCGAGCCTCCGTTCACAGCCTCATCATAGGTCGGAAGCATGACAGGCACACCGTCCACTACCACGAAGTCGGGGTCGCTGCTGGAGCTCCTGGGAGGACCCCTGTGAGGAGGAAACAGTGGGAACGTCAGGAAGGAGGCGGCGTGGAGAAACAGCCCCTTCTCTCAGTCCTTCCTGGCGGATGTGCTATGCACCATGGCCTGGTTCTGCAGGAGGTTTTCCTTAGAGCACTCTCCATCCTAAGGGAGGGTGACACTAAGTGCCCAGAGGGTACAACCTGTCTGTGTTTACAAGGTCTCTTCTTTGTAAAAGCAAAACAAACATGAAACCATACCACTCAACTTTAGAGAGACGAAACACAGTAGAAAATGTAAAAGGCAGACTGTTAATCACCCCTCTGATGGTGCCATTCCAATTACCCAGGTTCATGGTCACCCCAGACCCAATGCTGCACCATGGTCCAGACAGAAGCAGCATAGTTGTTGTGTGGGAAAGCCAGCTCACCATCTCTTCAGGGACTCCCTCATGAAGCACATGCACAGCGCCTGGTCTGGCCTCGCACCTGACCCTAGGAGATGTACGTCATCAACATTTGCACCCATATGACCGGCAGGCTCTGCTCCTGGCTCCAGAAGAGCCCAGAGCAGTAAGTACAATAGCTTAGAGCTCGCCTGCTTATTCCCGCTGCTGGGAACTGAAGATAGAAGAGGAGGCCAGAGGACCACACAGTAGGAAGCGGAGGTGATCCATTTGGGTGTGATGATGCCCAGAACCCTGAGTGCTTCTCGGAAGGCACATGAAGTGTCTGGACATGGCTGTTGTGGGGAGGGGCTGGATTGGCCTGTGCTGATCACTAACGTGAGAGGGGTAGTCTCAAGCCTACGGCTTTATGAAACATCTTGCAAAAGCTTAGGGGTTATGGCATTCGCCTTCTTGCTCCAGTCCTCAAAGGCTACCCAGAGAGGCAAGAGATCACCTAGACCTGCATTCCCTGGAAGGTGGAAGGAAGAAAGGAGGGAGGAGGAAGAAAAGGAGGAAAGAAGAAAGGAAGGAAGGAAGGAAGGAAGGAAGGAAGGAAGGAAGGAAGGAAGGAAGGAAGGAAGGAAGGGCAGACGGACAGACGAATGGAAGAAATGTATTTCCAGCCTGGTATGACTAGAGCACCCAGACCAAGTTGTGCTCGCTCCTCTTTGGTCATTTCAAGGTCTCCCATTTGCTGTCTTAGCTCACTCAGGACTTCTTCCCTGCTCCTTGCTTTCCTGTTGTTAGATCTGAGCAGCCAGACACCTCTGCTCATTTCTTACCCCAACAGCCCTTGCTCGGGCCACCGTCCCCTCTACACAGCTCCAACCATGCTGTGTGGCTTTCATAGATATTGATATTAGACACCTGGAACCCGAAGAACACAGTTGTCCGCCCTTGTGCACCTTGTGTTCCATTGGACAGATAACAACAACTTTTCCCTGAACAACTTGAGGACAGTGTAAGAGCATCAAGTGAGTCTCGAGAAGATTCCAAAAACACCCTAGTAGTCCATATCTTAGAAAACTCCTCCAAGCACATATATAAAAAATAGCTTTGTAGGCCATCTGAATCACATATATAAATAGAAATCACAATGGTGTAGTCCAGCTTTTCTTGTGATCCCTTGGCCTTCTTGAGAAACTGTAATTGCTTAGAGATAGAACATGGCCCCTTGATGAATAAGGAATAATACTGAAGACCCGGAGAGCAAATGAAAGGATTGAGGTAAAGAAAGGAAAGTTCTGAGACCTCAGCAAAAGCCTGGTGATGCCACCAGGGAGGCATCCACCTGGATACACCTCTGGGCCTGGAGAGGACATAAGTGGCCCCCACATCCAGCACACATAGCTGGGGAGAGTGAGGCGCCTGCTGGGTGTGCCCTACAGTGTGTCTGCTGCCAGGTTCAGGAGAACCACTGAGTGACATGAAGCTGTCAGGGTGTGCGAGGTGAGGGGAAGCTGATGCTCCTCTCCCCCTTCACACTCCTGGGAGGTGAGAGATTTACGGGGCTGTCTGGAGGGAACAGAGTTGATTCTTGGAGCCTCCTTCTCGCCCAAATACTGGCACACATAAACCTCAAGTTTCTTGTTCTGGTGATTAGGAACCATGGTGACAGCAACTCAAGGATGAGGCTGACTAACTTAGGGATAATGAAGCCAGGAGTTGACAAGGCTCAGCTGTAAGGACAGTTCTGGCGTGAGGAGAACAAAGGCATGGGGACACCAACCTGAGCCCTCTGGTGCAACCAAGGATAGAGAGTCACCATCTGAAGCCCCAGACTCCCCCCACCCCCCGCCCCAGACCCTTCTAATTTTCCACTCATAGGCCTGCTCTCCTTTCTAAAGCTTCCTGTCCTATTTGTTGACCTGGGTCATGCCCCATCTCTGACTTTGGTGCCTCTCAGGTATATAGGTATATGCAAATCATTTTCTAGGGGCACAGCAGGTGGACCATGATGGGGCTGGAACTCCTGATGGAGCACACACAGTTTGTATGCCTGTGCTGGTTCACTCCTCCAGTCCCCCAGAGTGCCTGCTTCAGAATGGTCTGCCAGTGGAGGATGGGATGAGGCTGTCTTCATCACAGTGCTCTCTCCCGGACAGTCTACCCAGACCTTTAGACTTTACATTCATCTGTGCGCTTTCTGCTGCACTGACCTGGTGGGGAAGTGGGCCTTGAACTTGGTCTGGAACATTCTCGCCAGGATGACGAGCAGTAACACCAGCAGCACACTGGTGGCTGTGAATGCTACGATCTTCCACGTGGTCAGGAGGGTCTCGTGGGTGCTGGGCCACGTTTGCTCTGCCGTGAGAGATAACAAAGCCAGGCATGAGGTACCGCATTCCTTTGGGGGGTGGTCATCTGGTACATGAGGTACACATGCTATGCCTCTGGGACTAAACGGACATACCATACATCCAGTGCAGCTCGTAAACCATGTTAGGACCCACACAACACAAAAACCTTTCACTAGCATGGGACCTGCCAGGCTGAAGATATATTGGCAGGTGGTGTATTTGTAGATACTAGTGAGACTGCAGACATGCATGCTCATGCTGCAGCCCAGGTAGGAGAACTTAGGTCGGGCCAAAACAATAATAATGCAACTGAAGAGAGAGAAATGTGTCCTGCCCTGAAGAACCTGTTCAGACATGGGTCAAAATGATGCTGTGGGGTAAAGAATGGAGTGTAGCAAGGGCCGTGCAGACCGAGGGTCCATGTCTATTCCTTGGCCATCACTCTACCCTCTGTGGAGCGATGCTCCCAGCATATTGCATCCCATTATTGCACGCAGTGGCCATTCTCTTGACTCAGTGCCTCTCCTCTTGCTGGCTCATAGTATCAACCCATGCCTCCAGATACCCAGCATCACATCTGTATCCAGAAGAGTAGCATCCAACCAACACTGCTGCTTCGGGCAGCAGCCATGGCTATGATCTGGAAGGAGTGGGCAGAAGTAGGAGGAGCAGGTGAAGGGTGCGTGCTGGTGCCAGGTCTCCTCTACGGGGCCACTGCCTGGGTGTGGGAGACCCATGGAAAAGCTGGCCAGCTAACACACATCAGTTACCAGGAGGCAGTGAAGCTTGTAGACAGTCTCCACCTGTGTGACATCAGTTCTTACCCACAATGACGTTATTCCTATTGGATGTGTCCCTTAAAGGAAGAGAAGGGTGGGTTCATCCACCGCTCAGATCCCTGAGCCATGCTCATCATTCTGGTTACACCCATGGGCCTGCATCCTTGCCGGTGGGAGGCACCCAGGCTGTGAGAAACTGCAGAAGGTGAATTCCTCCCTGGGTTCCAGCTCTATGATTCAGCCCATAAATATTACTGACCTTCTGCAAAAAGGCTTGGAATCCTTTGGCAGAGTCCAACACAGCCACCCCTATCTATAATAATAGATCATTTCTACAGCCTGGGTCCTGAGGCTCATGATAAGATAAGATGCCATTCAGGACAGAGCCTGGCCCCAGCTTGGAGGCCCAAGAGTGTGGCCTGCAGTCTCACCTGATTTGATGCAGTAGACTTGGTAGGAAGGGAACCACTCTCCATACTGGCAGGTGATGTACTTGTAGTCACTGGTGAGGCTGTAGCCGGGATCACAGTAGAACTCTACCACGGTCCCGTGGTTGTAGCGCTCGCAAGGCCTCGGGTGGCAGATGAAATCTCCGTGACTCACCATAGGAGGTAGTGGACAAACTTGGGCAGTTGGGGAGAATAAAAGTTTCAGAACCAACAGGCTCCTGGGAGGAGCCCTTCAGACACAATACAGGCACGGCCAATGGCAACTACTTCAGGATATGCTTATACTCAAAATACCAGACTGCAGTTTGGGCCTGTGTTTTCACGGAAGGTCAGTGGAAGTCTGCTAGGATATTCTGAGCACGGATGGGGTCACGTGGTGTTGTAAAGCACCTCATAAATGAGAGCTCATCATACGATAGGATGCCTATTTAATAGATAGTATTAAGCTACTCTATTAATAATGCATGCTATTATGTGCCAGACAACCTAGTAAATAAAATTAAGGTATTTATGGACAAAATCTTTACCCAGTGGCACAGTGCTGCCAAGACTCCTTCTGTTACCCAGGCAGTTACCTGGAACTGTTCAAACTGGAGAGCCGTGGCCCCGCCTGACCCCCTCATGTCCTGCTGGGGATGGACCAATGGCAAACATGAAAGGACTCTTCTACTTCTCTTGGCAGTCCTAGCCTTGGCCCCTCACACAGTTGCCACCAGGGCAGTGGGAGCAAGTCCTACGCTTTCTCCCTCTGTCCGCACACCAAGCCACCTTGAATGAGTCCCTTCACCCTTTGCAAGTTCTGGTCTTCAACAACCCCATCAAGTGGAAGCTTATTATGTCCTGATGATGTTTATGAATTTTCTGACCCACGTCGTATGATGTTAGGGGGAGAAGGTTGTTTTCAGTCTCCACCTTGAGATCCCACCTGGGCTGCAAGGTGGGATGTGGCTCATTTCTGACCCTGGGCAGACGGATTCAGCGGAGCTTGCTGTTCATGCATGGCATGCCACAAAGAGCTCTTGTGTCTGCAGAAGGGCTCAGCCCTAAAGAGCATGCCACTGAAACACCCCTCAGGAAACAATCAGACCGCAGTCTACCAATGCCTGCCTTTCAGATGGCACCTCAGAAACCATGAAAAACGGGCTTTAAGACAGGTTAGACAAACCCAAGGGTGAGCCAACTGTTGGAGCCTTCTTAGGTGCAGCCAAATACTCTGGCTAGTGTAGAACCCCCTGGCACTACGCACCACACCTCAAACTCACCAAAGCTTTCAGAGAGTATATGGGGGTACTTCCTGTTGGTACGTGCTCCTCGAGCTAGATAACAAGATGCCCCCCTGATGGAGGTGACCCAAGGTGTGCCCCTATCTCTAACCCTGAAAACAGTGTGGCAATGTAGGTCTTACTAGCCCCTTTAAAGATAAAGAGACATGTTACAGAAGCAACAGGCGAGTGAGAGGGAGCAGAGATTTGCTACACATGTAGGAACAGAACCGAGCTCCAGCAGAACTACTCAGCAGCCAATGGCCACGAGCAAGTCCCTTCTCATTTCAGTGTCCCCATGAAGCCAGCAGTGTCTGGGGGCTGCTCTTAGGGATGCAGCGAAGGCCTCAGGTCACAGCCAGCCTGTAATCGCTGGTCAGTGTGATTGGCTAGAACCTGAACATTGAAGGAACTCAGTGAAGAGGTAGAGAAATGGCAAAGACAACTGGTAAGTTTCAAGATTAGCAACAGCAGGCCACGTTCACTCCTGGCTGGTTGGAAGAAGGGGTTGCTGGGGTCCCAGTAGAAAGCAGGACAATAGAGGTCTTGGAGAAGCTGAAGCCAAAGGAATTGCCTCCAGGACAGAGAGATTGGGGGACGCTTGAAGCAGCTTACAGCAGGGAGTCTAAGAAGTGAGGTCTGTAGCAGGTAGCCTGTCTGGAACACAGGCCCAGAGATGGATCTGAGGTCTGGAGTGTGCACAGCTAGGTAGTGGCTGATGGGAGATTCCTCCAGGCAGGCACTGGAAACACCGAGTTCTGACTTCAACACTGAGGAGCTTTCTGCTGCCAGGGGTTGTGTCCTCTGGGTTGGCACACGACCACACCATGGCACAATAATGGCAAGCAATGCTATTTCTGTTTCTACAAGGGCTCTGTGCCCAGACTGGCTACCCACAGGGTGCTCAGGAGGTAAGCAAGCTGGCTAGCAAGGATGGCTGGTGACCAGGAAGAACAGGGAAAAGATACCCACAATGTTTACACTTCTGAGAACTGAAGGGCAATAGCACAGTCTCCTCCCTTACTCAGCCCTCCTTTGTGTGGCCGTCTCCCCACTGGTTCATGGAAGGGTAATGGGAAGGGTGGCCCAGCGGCCTCCAGGGCTGATAAAATCAACTGTCTGTCTGAGGGTTCCTAACCCCTGTACTGCTGCGAGTACTATACACGAGTAAAAACCCTTCCTGTGGGCGAAGGTGTATAAAATGTTGGTCGACCAACTGATGAACAGATAAGGGAAATGTGATATAACCCATGGAATATCACTCAGACTTTAAAGGGGGAACTCTGCCATTCTCAAAAGCACAGATGAACACCAAAGGTATTATGCTAAATGAAATAAATATGCCAGAGACAGAAAATTCTGCATGACTGTGAACTCACCAGTACATGGAATATATATAAAATACAAATTCATAAAAACAAAATAGAACAGTCAGGAGGTAGGGAATCAGAAAGTTATAGGTCAAAGGATACAAACTGGTTAGGTTGGATAAACAAGACTAGAGATCTTCTCTACAGTCCGGGGAGTGCTAAGCTATGTGCCCTTAAAATTGGGCAAAAGCAGATTTCAGCTCTCCCCTCAGATGAAAAGGCAGCTATGGGGAGATGGAGGTGTTCATGGCTTAGATTTAGTAACCATCTCACTATGCAGACATATATTGAAGTATTCTGTTATTCGCCGAAACTGCTGGGAAAAAGGCTACACCATGCATCAAGAGGCTCCTGCATAGTAGGCTGTCTGAACAAGTCCCCAAGGGCCAACCTAGGGTTGGAAAATTACCAGATGGGGCCTCCAGGGCTCGGACACCTCACTAAAGAAGCCCTACATCAACGTGTGTAAGTGGTTATGAGCAGGATGTCCTCCGGCTTAGCCTGAAGAATGAGTGACTGTTGGAATCAGTACATGAAACCCCAGGCAAAGGGACTCAGTTTGTCAGTGTGGTGAAGCTGTCTATTTCTGTGTTCAAACCCTGGCTCATGCCCCTGTGCTTCAGGGGAGCAGACAGCCAACATAACTTCTTCTTGAGAAGAATCACTAATGCCTAGGGTTATCAGGAGTATCAGAATCTCTGCAAAATGCACTGCACTGCGATTCTGAATAAATAATGGCAATTAGCATCACGACTGCGCAGACTCACTGGGGTTCTGCCGCATCTGTTCTCAGGACGGGCACTGCCCAGGCTCCATGCCAGGCTCTTTACATATGAGGATTCCCGAGCAGAGAAGCACCAAACAATCAGAGAGCTTGGAGCCTCCGGTCACCATACTTCTTCAGAGACCAGGGAAACACAAATGGTTGTGGATGTTTACAGTCTCTCAGAATTGGCACGCCATGGATGTGTGTCATCTCCCCCCCCCCCCCCCCCCCCGCCCGCAAGTGGAAACATTTATCTTCACACCTTTCCGTGCTCTACTGACTGTACCTTTAGCTTTCTGTAAAGGAAGCCTGCACAGGGGTAATTTGGGGGTGCGGGGTGCTTCTTCTGACTTGGAAGGAAGCATCAAAAGTATCATTAGTTATAAACTTGATGGGCTGGAGAGATAGCTTAGTTAGTAAAGGGCGTGCAGTGTAAGCCTGAAAACTTGGATTTGGTCCCCAGAATCCATTTAAAAAAAAAAAGCTAGGTGTGCTATGCACACTTGTAATCCCAGTGCTGGGATTACACTGGGTGGATCCCTAGGGCTCTCCGGGCCAACTGTCAAGGTGCAGGTCAGTGGGACACCCTATCTCAAAAAACAGGGCAGAGAGCATCCTGAGGAATGACACCTCAGCTTGACCTCTGCCCCACCCCCACGCATGTATGCACCCCTACAAACATGCATGAACATACATCAGAAAGGCTATAAACGTGAGGCTTATTTCAAAGTCCTAATATTGAGCTCCAGGGACTTCCATCCACAACACTGCCTACCATGAGGCTCTCTGAGTTCTGCTAGGCCTCTTCCCCACAGCATCCCCAGGAGGCAGACAGACTGACAGACACCCTTGACCACATAGCGGCCTCAGGCACAGGGCAAACAACCTGCTCTCAGTGTTGTGTGCTGAGCTTCTGCGGGATCCATGCGTTTTCTAGAAACACCATGAGTTGGTGCGCCACAGCTTCACCCCAACCAGACTCAGATCCCCTTAGTGACCTGCTCTCAGTAAAAGCCGTGTGTGGCAGGAACAAAGGATCTTCTGCAACTTTAGTTTGTAAAACATTTTTTCAACTTCAGAGAAGATGTACAGCAGCTACTGCTTTTTGGCGACTTTTTGCAGGACCGCGGCCCACATATCGGGCCTTTACCAGAAGAATCCAAGCGAGGCTCCGCTGAGGCTTCGTCAGGAATGGGTCTTGATTTCTGTCTCTTAGGTGCGGGCCCTCCACTTCTTATTTGTGGACAGTGGGATGTGCCTCCTTGCAGGACCAATGGGAAATTCCTAACTGCCAAATGGTGGCAGAACAGCTTCCTATCCGTCACTCACAGAATTCAACAGACATGGGCTAGGTGGGGCTGAGGACAGGAGATGAGAGATGGGGGCCAGAGACCCACAGTCTGCTCTACGCTGGCTACGGTGACTAGAGCTGGAGCTGGAGGTCTGCATCAGACCTGTTTCCCAAGTGAAGTCCACTTCTCTTCCCAGTCCTGCCTCTTGGGAAGTACCCAGGCAGTTCCTTCCCCTGCTGCCAAGGTCTGTCCCCACGGTGAAACCCCTGATTCTCTCCCCTCTTTGCACATTTGGACAGAGTATGGCAAAAACAGCCGCAGCCTTCCTGGGCCCTTTGTGCATTCTGCATGTCTATACACATGCTTCTCCGCTCAGTCCTGAAAAGCTGTCGTAAGTAGGGGGAAAGCCCATTTACTACAGTGAATACTCTCCTATGCATTGCTGGGCTCAATTTGCTAATATTCTGTTGTGGATATCACATAGCATGCTC